CAAACATCCGTCTGTTGCAGGAATGACTTCTCCTAACGAACGGGTCTCTAATAATGGCCTCTGCCAATATTGACCCCGCCGGAGCCGCCGCCCTAAGGCCGCCCTCCGGATCACGGCGCGTTGCGACTTTGCCCGCTCCTGCCTCGCTTTCTGGGTCTTCCCCGTCGGAGAAGAGGACCCGTTCGCCTGGTCCAACCCCGCCTGTGCTTGGTGCCCGCCTTTTGCCCCTTCGCCCTGCACCGGCTCCGCCGTTTGATGACAAGTGCGACTACGCTTCGAATGACGTCCTTCTTTTCTGGAAACCTCCGTCTGTGTTCTCGCAATGGACTCCTTCGGCTTTTGACGTACTGGGTGTACGTCATTCATGTGGTGAGCAATTCATGATGTTTGAGAAAGCGAAGTTGTTTGGAGTTATGACGTCGTATGACAAAATTATCGCTGCAACAGATCCTACGACACACAAGTTTTTGGGTCGAAATGTGCGTCCTTTCGACCATGCTGAATGGGAGAGTCGTCGTGAAGAGATCGTGCTTACCGGGTCGTACGCCAAATGTGCTCAAAAACATGACATAAAACATCATCTACTGGAGACGGGTACCCGACTCCTTGCAGAAGCCAGCCCCTTCGATCGTGTTTGGGGTATCGGCATGTCTGCATGCTTTCCAGATGCTAGCGATCCATCCAAGTGGGCGGCTAGCGGTAAAAACTTGTTGGGAAAAGCTTTGATNTGGAGATATGACGTCGTATGACAAAATTATGGCTGCAACAGATCCTACGACACACAAGTTTTTGGGTCGAAATGTGCGTCCTTTCGACCATGCTGAATGGGAGAGTCGTCGTGAAGAGATCGTGCTTACCGGGTCGTACGCCAAATGTGCTCAAAAACATGACATAAAACATCATCTACTGGAGACGGGTACCCGCCTCCTTGCAGAAGCCAGCCCCTTCGATCGTGTTTGGGGTATCGGCATGTCTGCATGCTTTCCAGATGCTAGCGATTCATCCAAGTGGGCGGCTAGCGGTAAAAACTTGTTGGGAAAAGCTTTGATGGAAGTTCGACGCCTTTTGCGTGATCATCCCCTCTCTGGCGAAGATTTCCCCGCTTCCAATTCTCCCACGCCCCCATTTCGCAGCCTCCTCTCCATGGACATCGACGCATTCATGAGGTTTCTACTGCTACAGGTTCTTCGCTACGGAAGGACCCGGGCGAAGACCCAGCTTGTCTACGTTTGGACACTCCGGGGGACCATGCTCCTGGCGTTCATCTGGTGGCATCGACCTCCGCTTGTGCAGACCAGCCCCCTCTTCTCGAACATGGACCCGACCTGGTCGGCGGCACGCTCCTGTTGGACTGGGACTCATACATCACCCGGGTCCTGCTGCATGGAGGACCTACAGCCACTTCTCAACTCGCGCGAGTGGCGCTTCTGGACTCTGGGTCTCCTGCATCCTTCGTTTCCGACTCCGTGGTCACCGCCATGATAGCTGCCGGAGCCCTGACAGCTGGCAGCGTTCGTGTTTCGCCCTCTCGTCGTTGGGGTGGGTTTGGTGATGGACCCGCCCTTGTGACCACCAGGTCGATTCGTCTCACCGTTAATTTTCTCCATGGAGATAGAGCTACCGCTTCCTTGGCGGTCTGGGCCTGTGTTGTTCCAGACGCCGCCATGGGGCACGCCGTGCTTCTGGGTCGTGATAGCTGGATGCGCTTCAACTCTCGCGTGTTCACCACCCTCCCCCACCCTGGACCGGACGGCCGGGTTATGGGCGAGCTCACGCTCTCTCCGCGTTTTACAGCTGGCGCTTGCGTTTACGCTACACACGACGACGCTCCTCCCTCCTCGTTTCACCTTAAATATGCAGGGAGCTCGGGAATTTCTTTGGGGCCGGAGCCTGCACTCGTTGAGGTGAACCTCGTTCGTTCTTCTGGCATGCCTGCGCTGATTGGAGAGTATCTGGTATCGTTCAAACCCGAAGTGGGTGCGCTTTCTTCCCCAGATGCGTCCGTTTCAAATGGTCTCCAGCGTATTCCCCTTGCAGGTTGTGCCGAGCTCGAGCCGGGAGACGTAATTGGGGTGTCTGCCGCGCCGCTACTACGAGTACCGGTGGAAACCCTGAAGGCGGCACCATCTTCGATTCCTACCGGCCCCACAACATCTACATCACCACCTCGGGTCAACGCCGTTGGCCCAAGTCCGGGACTCACCGCTCTCCGGACGCAGCCTCCGCCCCGCTTCCTCCGAAACCGCCTCCACAAGAACTACTCGACAGCTTCTCCAAGGCACAGCGCTCCAGCTTCATGCGGTTGTGGACTAGGCTGCCCGCACATATGCACGACATCGCTTTCGATCTACACAATCCGGGATGGACACCGGAGGCTATTGATCGTTTGGCCGACGCCCTTGTGGAATATTCTGACGTGTTCTCTACTTCGAAAACCGATTTTGGTTCCTGCAACATAATGCCGTTCACGCTTTCTGTCCCAGCAGGGACGAAGCCCGTTGCGTCACGCCCGTATCGTATCAACCCGTTGATGCAAAAGAGAGTGAATGCCGTTTCGGACCAGTATTTGGCGGTAGGGCTCATTCAACATTCCACATCTCCGTGGGCTTCTCCTTTAGTTGTCATCCCCGAGAAGGACGGATCTGTTCGCATCACCGTCAACTACAGACGTTAACGCTCTGGTGGATTTGGATGTACAACCCCTCCCTCGAGTGGACGGTATCTTGAATTCTCTGTACACCGGGAAAGTGTTCTCCATCTTCGACCTCAACTCGGCTTTTCACCAGATCGTTTGTGATGAAGACACTGTCCCGCTCACCGCCTTTTTCACTCCCACGCAGTTGTTCGAATGGCTTCGGATGCCGCAGGGCGCCAACGCAAGTCCGTCTTGGTTCGTCAAGGTCATCAACAGAGTGGTGCACAGTCTGGAGCGTGTGCTGGCTTATCTGGATGATGTCATCTGTTTCGATGAGGAACCTTTGGGACACGTGCTGCACTTGATCGAGTTCTTCAAACGACTGCGACAGTACAACCTCAAACTGTCTCCAGGGAAGGGTCGCGTTGGCACCACGCACGCCAACTTTCTCGGTCACACCATCTCTCCGGCAGGTGTTAGCCCTGATGGCGTCAAGGTTAGGGCGCTCACGCACATGCCGCCGCCGCCGAATGTTAAGCAGCTTCGGAGTCTTCTCGGTGGACTCAACTACTACCGGAAATTCCTCAAGAATCTCGCCACCAAGGTGCGGCCTCTCAACTCTCTTCTCAAACAAGGCGTCCCCTTCAAGTACACCCCGGGCATGGTCAAGGTTGTCAAAACGTTGTTAAGCGAACTCGCTCGCCCCCCGATTTTGGTCTTCCCGGATTGGGCAGCAATCGAGGACAACAGCCGTCCTCTTCGTTTGTGTTCCGACGCGTGTATCGACGGTTTTGGCGCTTCCTTGGAACAAAAACAGCTCGATGGCTCGGTGAGACCCATC